AGCTCTTCGGACCTGGCTCAAATGTGGTCTCGTCTGACCAATCTCCTGCTTTCTGATCACTTCCAGACATCCCAGACGTAAGCGATCCAGCCTCTGCTGTCACAACACACTGTCCCTCAGCCTAAGCGCCTCGCTCGGCATCTTAACTGCATTTACAAATAGCCAATTTGTCCCTAACTGCTTCCTACCTGATGACACTCATTACTTTTGTGCATGCCCTTATTTGGCGGCATAGCTTTCCCTTGCTGGCTTATTCTGACTGGTGTGAACGGTCTCCTGCTTTCTGACCTCTCTCGAAATTCTGAGATCCAAATGACCTAGGCTCTGCCGACTTAACATCCTGTAACCCACACTTCAAATGCTTTGTTGGCCATGATCCATCCTTATTGTTTTAGCCACCTAAGGCTGTTTTAGTGTTATTCCATTAGCACCCAGCATGGTTTCATTACCTGTGCGTCGGCGCGTCTGAGCCGTTTATGCTCTGAACTATCTAACAACCATATGGTGTGCTTGCGCTTCGACCGTTCGCTGTCCCTCCATCATGCACCGTTTCTTGGCTCTCCTCTCTCCAGCAAACATAACTCAAGCGGTCTGCGCATAGCCGCTCTGTGCTAGCCGTTTATTTACCCAGTACTCGCTACGTCTGTGACACCTACTTATCCTGTAGTCCAGCACTCTCACTCGAATTTCCCAGCTCAGGCTTTCTTGCTAGATTCTCAGCTGTCACTCACTCGTCTGCAACACCTAATTAATGGTAGTTCAGCTCTCTCTCATTGGCTTCTCCAGACTCAGGCTTCCTTAGTTATATTCTATTAGCACCCCAGCATGACCTGATTATCAGCGCGTCGCAGCGTCTTATCCTCTTGTGCTCTGAATTAGTTAACAGCCGTATTTCATTCATGCTCTCCTTCCCTTCACTGCCCTTCCATTATGAAACCGTTCCTATCTATCTTCTGTGGAGCAAACAACTCATGTGGTCTGCGCAAAGCTGCTCCTTAGCCCCTCTTTTCCAAGCGTCCAGTTATTCACTACTCGCTCCTTGCTTGATGCTCAGTTGTCACCCACTCGTCTGTGACACCCGATTACTTGTATTTCAGCCCTCTCACTGGCTGCTCCCGACTCAAGCTTCCTTAATGCTATTCCATTAGCACGACAGCACAATTTCGTTATCTGCGCTTCCCCGCCTCTTAGCCTTTTATAATCTGACCCATTTTAGAATCATACCATGTGCTTGCGCTTCATCCGTTTGCTGTCCATTCTTCATGAAACCTTCCTTAGCTCTCTTCTGTGGAGCAAACATGACTCATGTGGTCGTCGCACAGCTGCTCCTAAACCTCTCCTTTCTAAACGTTCATTTATCCGGTGCTCGCTGCTACCTCTGTGACACCTGCTTACGTAGATATCCAGATTTTTATTGGCATTTTTTTAGCTTAATATACCCTAGCATCTTAACAGGACTTCAGTGTCGTCGCGCCTGACTCATATGCTGCGAAGTCTTAAATAAACTTAATGTATGCCTGCATTCTGCTTGGTTGACGTCCTTTCTTCATGTAAACATTTTAGCTTTCTTCTAACACTCCTTCCTAATTTATAAGGTCAGTGCACGGCTGCTCCTTAGCCTGTCGATTCTAGACGTTCTCATATCTCTTAAGCGTTGTAACGACTTCGACTTTTCCACTTGCAAACGTCCAGCTCTCGGACCAGGTTTTCCTGGCTCTACACAAATTAGTATTATCCCAGCACACTAGCTTGAATTGTGTGACTACGATCTACCGTGCCTCAGTCTTATATGCTGTGACTCCTATAGTAAACAATATATGCTTACATTCTTCCCGTCTGCTATGCTTTCCTAATTCAAGCGTTTTAGCTCTCTTCTGGCGACCTTCTTATCACATCAGGTCAGCGCACATCCGCTCCTTGCTAGATACTCAGCTGTCACTTACTCGTCTGTAACACCTAGTTAAGTATGGTTCAGCTCGCTCTCCGGCTGCTCCCAGCTCAAGCTATCTTGGTAATTTTCCAGTAGCACCCTAGCATAATTTGAGTACCTGCTAGTTGTTGCTTCTCCTCTTCTTATGCTCTGAAATATGTAACAACCTTATCGTATGTTTGCGCTTCTCCCGTTCGCCATTCTTCCATCATGAAACCTCTCTTAGCTTTCTTTCGTCGTGCAAACAAAAACCATGTAATCAGCGCAAGCCGCTATCCTTCCTCACCTTTCTAGATGTTCATTTCTCCCTTACTCGCTGTAATGTCTTAGACATTTTTCCTGCAATCCACCAGCTCGGGCTAGCATTTCCTGGCTCTATCCAGCTTGGTATCATTATCTTAGCCCCTAGCAGGACTTGATTTTCTGTGCGCTGTTGTGATTAGGCCTCATGCTCTGATATCCTCAGCGACCTTAATGTACGCTTACATCCCGGCTATTCGCTCCCCTTCCGTCAATTAACCTTTCTTAGCTTAAAAGTTCCACACTCCTATCATCTGGTCAGCACACAGACGCCCGTTAGCTTCTCATTTCTAGGTGTTCACTTATCACTTCCTCGTTTCTGTTTGCGACACTTACTCATGTATGAGTCCAACATACTCACTGGCTTTTCCTGGATCACCATTCCCTAGTACCATTTTCTTAGCACCCTAGAATGACTCGTTTCTCTGCATGACGCTGCGTATATATTTGCTCTGCACGTTCGCTTTCATGTAACTGATCTGTATTACTTCCCTTTTATCGATCAATCATTGTTCACCTAGTCAGCACATTCGATCCTTAACCAATCCCTTGTAGGAGTTCTGCTTCTATCTCGCAGCAAAGGTTTCCACACTTACTTATGTAGGAGGGTAGCTCGCTCACAGGCTTTTCCCATCTCAGTCAGCCATAGCCCTAATCTCTTAGTACCCTCTTGTCGTATTTCTGGTTTGACCCCCCGAACATTTTACTCCGCGCTTAAGTCCTATCTTTCCGCTACTTTATCACCAATTGACCTATGTATCTCTGTCGTTGCAAGCTATTTATTTATTTACTTACGTATTCTGCGCTCACCATCGAAGAAGGCCAGCTACCAGCTGTTCATCCACCACTGAATCGCCGGTGGTCTTTGTATTCTGCTTTCTGTCCTCCCACACAATAGTTTCATTATATTAAACTTATACTGCGTGTTTCGCTTAATAGCGCGACGCTCTGTACTCCGTGTAGATGGTAGCAGTCTACCTATAAGGCCCATGCTTTTCATAGAACGTGTAAAAAGCCACCTTCAGCACAATCATTGTTGCACCTTGTCCATCATTCTGTCTCTACTCTAAATGTTATAACATTGGACTTTAACAATGTTGGCTTCCACGCCCGTTCTTTGAGGCCTTGGTTGTCTCTCACCTTGCCTTTTCTCTGAGGTCCGGAACTCCTTGGGGATCTGGGATTGGACCGAAAAACAGTGTTTGCGCCCGGGACAGGACATAATAACCCACAAGGACCTACGAATAACACTGCTGTACAACAAATGGATACAACTGCACTCACTATCACGACCATTATCCAGTGATGATAGCTGGACACGATGCCTTCACAGTCCTGTAAATTATACATAATCTGACAAATCCGGACATAAGAACCTGACGTTTTGTTTACCTGGACACGCAAAAGGAAGACTCTTCGTGAATCTCCCAGCCTCGATTGGGCTCAGCGGTTATGACTGCCCTGAACAAGGTATCTGCTCAATTAACAGAGGAAATTGGAAGTCATTCGACTGTGAATAACGGAGTGAGAAATCAGTCGGCAAGGTGCTCTGCCAGTTGTACAATAGTGTACAAACGCATTACTTACAGTGTTCCAGGACGTAGTGTGTTTTCGCCTGGCAGGCGTTCTGTCTATAAAAATCACAAATGAATGTTTAACAACCTTGCGAAGTGGCGGATGTGACACAAGTTCAAGTTCAAGTGGAACTGGAACGATAGGATGAATCCCGTAAGTGTTCCTTCTTGAGCGGGTCGTCGATCCAGGAGTTGATAGGAGTGCTCCGACCTCTTGATTGGTCTAAAAGGAAACCACCAGAAAAAGCACCTTGGTCCACCAAGTTAATGCCCACGTTCCTTAAATTAGCTGTCCCAGCCATGTCATTTACGTGAAGTAAGTAAGAGGGGACGAAAAGTCGAAGGTAAGAGAGTAAGGGAAAGCAGTTAATAGAAAAGAATAATAATAATGGCGAGGAAAAGTAAAGAAAATAGTATCGAAGCATGAAGATTGGAAATAGTCAGGAAAAAGGAGATTTCGTGTTGCCAACCAAGAGCGTCTAGTTGACGCTCAAAACCCCTAACCGTAGATTCCTTGACAACATTTTCCGGAAGCAGGCTCCAACGCTCGATGGCTCGACGCGATAACCGTGTCTCCGCTCTAACTCGATCGGACCGCGGTTTGTCCAGCTTTACACAATGCCCGCGGAGACCAGATAATCCTGCAGGACTAAATTACCTGGACAAATCAGGGCCAACCTTCCCAGTCAAAATACGGTAGAATAGGATTAGGTCTCCTCTAGTCCTTCGTTAGTGCATTGACTGCATTCGGGGTAAGTTTGTCCGCGTAACTCCTTAACCAACCTAGTACCGACACGCAACACCCTCTGTAGTGCCATTTTGTCCCGGACAAGGCTTGGTGGACAGGCCTGGACGCAATAACCTAGGTGGGGTCGCACAAACGCTGAGAAGAGCTTCACAAACACAGCAGCGGTTAAAGTCCCGAAAGAACGACAGATAAACCACATCATCCAGAACCCTTTACTAGCCGCCTTCTTCCAGTTGTCTCCAGAGTGTAGTGTGGAACAGTGGAAGACACCTTGATCAACCTGATGACTCACGTGAGAAAGTTCACTCCCATCAAGCCCATAACTTGTGGTGGAAGCAGACCCTCCGCTTTTACGCATCGGCTTCGGTGATTTCATCACACGGCAAGCGAAAAGGTCGACATGTCGTAACTTCGAATAGAAGGTGGAGGTTGGGTAGCACAAAGCAACATGTCAAACTTAGCTGGTTTTGAGGATTGTTCACGTCCAGATCCTCCACTTGCTGCTTGGCTGATAGGAGAGGAACTTCCTCTGAACACACTGCGAACGTTCGATCATAATGGGCAATTTTCCACAAAACAATACGATTCGCAAGGAACCTGGGTTAATGGTCCCGTGGGAACTGTCGGAGAGCAAGGTGAGAGAGGGCCCGAAGGAATCACGGGGAGTCAAGGAGACCTCGGTGAGAGAGGCAAGCCCGGTCCGAAAGGCGTGAAGGGTGTCTACGGCCCCGTTGGACCTATCGGGCCTGCTGGACGTAAGGGTGAAAAGGGCGTACCCGGCCTGGAGGGGCCACGTGGTCCAGTTGGTCCACAGGGACCTCGTGGTTCTGCTGGTCCTACAGGTGATACTGGACCTACAGGTCCACAAGGGCCAGAGGGTCCGGAAGGTCCAGTCGGCTACACGGGAGCACCAGGTTTACCTGGTCCACAAGGTCCAAAGGGTAGTCATGGGCCGATAGGCCCTCCTGGGCCACCCGGTTCAATAAAAATCGTGGACGTGAGCGAAGGTTACTATCGATTCGAGGATGCTCCAAGAGTGAAACGAAGCGCAGTCAGTGGACTGTCGAAACAGGATCCTGCAGATGAGACCATTGCTCCAAGCAACGTCCCCTCCATTGGTGCAGTCCTCCGTAGAGTCTACCAGCGCATTGAAAGTTTGGAGAATGCGCTAAATATGTTCGACCGACCGGCGGGCACCAAACGTCACCCAGCTAGGCACTGCCGTGATATCCTCAGTTCAGCTGAATATCCAGAGGCGTTGAAGTCTGGTAAATATTGGATAGATCCAAATCTTGGTTCCAAGGTCGATGCACTTGTCGTCGAATGTCGTTTCAAGGACCAAGGAAAAAAGCCCAGACATGCATTCAACCATCGGCGGACACGCAGACCATGTCACTCACTCAGTTTAAAAAGACTGAAAGAGAAGACGAATGGTGGCTGTCAAGTCTGAAAACGCAATTACCTTCACAAAATTACACCAGACCGCAATTTTACTACGCTCCGCACAATCAACTGCGTTATCTGCATCTGTTGCGTCAAAAGGCCGAACAATCGGTGACACTGCTGTGTCGGAACACCGCCGTCTATTTTGATAGTGTGCAAAAGAATAACAATGCCGCTGTGAAAGCGAGACTATTTAACGGGCAGGACCTCAACACATACGTGGACAGACGAATACGTGCCCTCAGTGGAAACACTATGTTGGAAGTGAAGGTCCGCTACGAATGTATGGAGCGGAATCCTCAGAAAGCCAGTAGCGTTTTTGAATTCTCCGCTCGGGAACCCGATATGCTGCCTATACTGGATTTGCAACTCAGAGAGTTTGGGGGTAAAGAACAAGAGATTGGGTACTACGTGGACTCCGTGTGCTTCAGCTGAACACCTAGATGTGATCTATATACAAGTGAGCAGATCGGGCTACCGCAGTAACCATATTCCATTGCGAGTGTGCACCACGCACGCAAGCTGACCTCGGGATCAACCCCATGTATACAAGCACCCACACACACAATTACACAACCACATGCACCTGGATCACGATCCAGAAGAGAGTACAATTCAGCGCACTTTGTATTCCGAAAAATGATGCTGGCTAGCCGAACAACATCCTCGTGGTGCCAGCTGGGTGGTTCGGGTTTAACCCGTTCCAGCAAATAGTTCGGTGGCAGTGTTCCAGGACGTGGTGGGTTTTCGCCCGGCAAGCGTTCTCCCTATAAAAAGCCACAAATGTCTGCTTATCAACACTGTGACGTGGCGGATGTGACTCGCCACAAAATAAAGTCACTGGCCCGGGGACAACCGGAAAATGGTATCCAACCCACGGACGTCAATCGCTTATTCTCACATTCCCACCGATAACAAACAGTCAAACATTCTGCGGCACATTCAAAAATACAAGCTACATTCATAGACAATTGCATACATGTATACACCCATACGCTTACATTCACTGTTATGCCAAACATGTACTCTTTGTACATTTTGATCACACTATGTTAGCTAAACATGATCATGCCTGTACAGGTGTGCCTCGCATTGTCGAGAATAAAAGTTTATTTATTTATTTATTTATTTAGTACTGAACGGTTTGCCCGGATTTTGTGCAGCAACCACAGGACCGTCCATTCTCAGAGTCTATCCAGAGCCCATTGAAGAGACACTGTTCCTTCAGGGATATCAACAATATACCATAACTTTAGGTCGTCAGCAAATAAGAGCGATGGTACCTCAAGCTCCCTCGGCAAGTCATTCAAGTAGACTGAGAAAATCAGCGGCCATAGGACAGAGCCTTACGGAACGCCGTTAAGTACAACTTGTCGAAGCGAAAGACTGCTTCCCACACGAATACACTGTTCCCGTCCATCCGGGAAAGCTGACACCTGCTGGAGAGCACGACCAGACGTTCCATACGACCTCAATTTCAGTAAGAGTCGCGAATAGGGGACAGTGTCAAAGGTCTTGGTGAAGTCAATGAACACCACATCTACCGCAGTTCCACAGTCTACGGCTTCAGCTCAGCTCTCACGAGCTACCAGCGAGTTCGTCTGACACGAAAATCCTATGCGAAAACCATGTTGCTCGACACTAAGCAGGCTAAACATATTAAAATGGTTCTCCACTATACCTCGTACAAATTTTTAGGTAACTTAACGACCAAGCTAGTCAAGCTGACAGGTCTGTAATCAGCCGGTAGGTCTTTGTTACCGCACCTGTAAACTTGGCAGACAACAGCCTCCTTCCATTCCATAGGCAGGACAGCCGTTGAGTGACCTCAGAAACACACAAGTCAGAGGTCCACTGCGTTCCAATGCCAATTCGTGCAACAATTTTGGATGAACAGAATCTGGCCCGGCAGCCTTAGTTGTGTTTACCTCTCTTAGCAACCGGAGAACTTGGGACTCAGTTACAGGAATTTCATCCAGGCAACAGTCCTTAGAGAACCTTGCAGCTAGTTCTTTGCATGGCGCATTTGTTTCCCGGACAAAGACGCTTGCGTACTGCTCACCAAGTACGCATGCCTTGTCATAGTCGCTATAGGCATGGGTCCCGTCTCCTCGAAGCAATGGTGGTATGGGCGAGTTTGCACCACAGCCTCGTTTAACGTAAACGAAGAACTTCTTAAGATTTTTTGGGGCCGTATCGGCTAAGGCCTTTTCATACTGAAGCAGGACTAATCTGATGTTGCTTGCACTCTTTTCGAACCAACCGATACTTGCCAAACGTGCTGTTCGACGCAGCTGTTCGGTACGCTCGCCAGTATCTAGACGGCTTCTTTAGCAGGCCCTTCCCCGCGGAATCTATCCACGGGGCTACGCTCTCGATTCTCTTCCTCTTACCAGCGGGATGTGAGGTGAAGAAATGTCGATGATGTGAGCCTTCAATTTTTCGCAGGCTAGTTGAACTGTGTCAGTCTCAGAGTTCACACAAGGCGATGACCTAGCTTTATCCCGCATCGGTTGGAATTCCGCTGCCCAAACGTTCGGATACCAACTGGTAGTAGGTTGGCAAAGCCCGATAAGGGTTACTGTAAAGACAAGCAAGCGTGGTCGCTAGCGCCAAGAGGAGAGTAGTAATTAATGTCATTTACAAAGTCAAGTGACCTAGCTTACACAAGAGCTAAAGTGGACGGCTGCTGATTGCTCATGTACCTAGTGGGGTGGTTCGCGAACTGGTGTAGTGGTACCTGTAGCGTTAAGCCCAGCAGTGCTGTACCGAACGATTCCAGAGCCGAACTGCATGCTAGATCATCTCAACAACCCTCTGGGAGGTTGAAGTCTCCCAGCACCAGACACTTGTTTGCAGAGTGAGTGTGTATAAACTCAATGATGCCGCTGGAGGTGCTCATAGGGCTTCAATACAATAAAACGACCGTAGCCTGAACAGAGGAAGCGCAAATTAAGACTGCGAGAGCCTCAACAGATTTGTCGAGAGACTGAAAAACGCTGGTCCTCAATACGTCAACGTGATAACTCACATAAAGAGCTACACCACCACCTTGATGGCCAATGTGGCGGTCAGCGCGAAACAGTGCGCAGCCAGGCAGATATACTTCGCCATCTGTGATTTCCTCAGACAGCCACGTTTCAGTGAACGCAAGTATATCTGGACGAGATTTCTCTACGAGCAGACCCACCTCGCACATCTTGTTCCTCAGTCCACGCACGTTACTAAGTACCAATTAGAGGGCTTCGACACGACCAGTCCTGGGTCATGCGCAAGTAGACTAGTTTCTGGCAGGGCGGGAAAGGTCCGCCGGCTGGCCACCTGAAAACCCACCAATCGGAGACCTTGCTGGCTAGCTGCACGTCGGGCTTTTAGGTCTCCGATGGCTTAGTTTAACTTTAACCTATCCGCTAACAGAAGGTCTGGTTGCACACTACCGTTGAGCTGGAAGGCAAATCTCAGTAAGGCCCTGTGCTCTTCTAAGGTAGAGAGGACCACCCTATGCAGACGGGGTCGAGGATTTCGTTGACCAACCGGAACGTTCCCCAAACTGATAAGCTTCCTGATCGTAATGCCTGGGAAACTTGATGGTAAAAGCCTAGTCACGCAAACTTTAAGCCAAACAAGATCATCAAGCAGGCGCTCGGTGGATTCAGTGACGTTGCTGAAAATCAGGCTGCCAGCTGTTTAAGAATCGCCTCGACAAGGTGTATTTACTCCCTATGTCCAACCATCCACGCCACATGGTTGTTTGACAAGAATCGGTGGGACCGAAGGCGACGGCACCTCGTGGCTCACTGAGGGAATTGCAAAACCAGGTGATGTTTCTAACTCAGGCGTTTGTTTCTTGAGCATTTCATCACCTTCCGGTTTCCAAGCGGTGGGTTTGCACGCTTTATTTGCCCTATTACGCGTCGGTCCATTGGAAAGTGACGAGTGATTGAGCCAAGCTGCAACACCAGGACAGATACTGTGAGCGCATTGGCAATACGTCTCGCAACAAGCAGAAGTCAGGGCTTAAATTGCGCACCCGAACGTTAGCCCTCGGTAGATCAGTGGTAGTGCAGCAGATTGGTAATTCTTTGGAGCGGGGTTTGCTTTTCCTTCGAGGCAGCTTATTGTGTGCAGATTAACCGTGACTTCTAACTTCTACGAACATTACGCTTCTCACAAAATTCCACAAGTAATCTACCATCGCACTTTGGACATCGGAAAGGCAGATAATGCGGTCCATTGGGAAGTGACGAGTGAGTGAACCAAGCTGCAACACCAGGACAGTACTGTGAGCTCAATCGCAATGCTTTGCGCACCAAGCAGCAGCCATATATTAAATGGCGCACCTGATCGTCAGCCCTCGGTAGCTCAGTGGTAGAGCAGCCGACCGGTAACCGGTTGGACCGGGGTTCGATTCCATTCGAGGCAGATTATTGTGTAAAGTTTAATCGTGACTTCGAATTTCTACGAATATTAACTTTATTACACAATTCCAAAAATAAATTTCAGTCGCGTTTTGGACAGCAGAAGGACAGACATTTCGGTCTATTTGGAAGTGAGGAGTGAGTGAGCCACTCTGCAACACCAGGACAGATACTGTGAGCTCTTGGCAATACGTCGCGCAACATGCAGAAATCAGTTATTAAATTGCGCACCTGATCGTCAACCCTCGGTAGATTAGTGACAGGGAGGAGGACCGGTCAGTGGTTGGACCGGGGTTGGATTCCCCGTCGAGGCAGAATATTGCGTGCAGTTTATTCGCGAATTCTAATTTCTACGAAGCTTACACCTCTCACAAAACACACAGGTAATCTACTATTGCCATTCGGACATCAGAAGAACAGATACTGCGGTCCATTGCGAAGTGACAAGTGATTGAGCCAATGTGCAGCACCAGGACAGATACTGTGAGCTCATTGGCAATACGTCGCTCATCAATCAGAAGTCAGCTACCAGATGGCGCACCTGATCCTCAGCCCTCGGTAGCTCAGTGGTAGAGCAGCGGATGGGCATTTCGTTGGACCGGGGTTCAATTAACTTTCGAGGCGGATTTTGTGTGCAGCTTAATCGTGACTTCGACTTGCTATGAACAGTACACCACTCAAAGTTCTACAAATAATCTACCATCGCTCTTCGGACGTCAGAAGGACAGATACTTCGGTCCATAGGGAAGTGACGAGTGATTGAGTTAATATGCAACACCAGGACAGATACTATGAGCTCATCGGCAATACGTCGCGCACCAAGCAGAAGTCAGGTATTAAATGCGCACCTGATCGTCAGCCCTCGGTAGCTCAGTAGTAGAGCCGGGGACTGGAAATTCGTTGGTCCCGGTTCCGATTCCCCGACCAAGCAGATTATTGTGGGTAGGTTAATCGTGACTTCTACTTTCTACGAGTTTTACACCTCTCAAAATCTCATAAAGTATTCCAATCACTTTG